CTTCTAGAATCTTATTCTTATTCTATAGAAATACTATAGCGTTATACTATAGATAGAGTTCTATAGCTACTAGAAATACGTTAAGATTCTCTCTTTTACTATTAAAGCGTTGTAGTAAGGTAATCTTAGCCTATACCTATTATTTTACTATAGCTAGCTCTTCTACCTATTAAACGCTTATTTTCTAGAGTACTATAATAACTTATTAGAGTTCTATAATCTACTCTTCTATAGTTAGCTTCTAGGCTTAGGCCTTTCTAGATTAGGTTCTAACTATTAACATAGTTATTCTACTCTTTAACGTTAGGTAGTTATTTTGTTATAAGCTATTCTCTTAACTAAGACTAAGGCTTACTTTTATAAGAGAAGGTAAGAGGTGTGCTTTAGGCTAGAATCTTTAATAATAAAGAGGTAGAGGTAATAATACTATAAATCGCAAGTCTCTATAGTAATTTAATAAATAAAGTAATAACTATAAGAAGCTATAAGAAGTAAGCTTCTTCTAGTTATATATATATACTATCTTAGCTAGATTAGATACTAAGACTCTAGCTCTTGTAGATCTTCTAGATTAGAGCTAATTACTTAGATTAGTTCTAATCTCTCTAATTTGTCTAATCTACGTTACGTAACTCTAATTATTCTTATAACTCTACACGTAACCTCTTATCTTATAACTCTTAGGCTTAGCCTACTATTTTCTTTATTCTAGCTAGTTAACTCTGTTTTCGATTCTATAATTGTAATAGCTTTCTTAAGGTTCTTTTTATAAATATACGCTTAATAGCTAATAGAGACATAATAAGCTACTAATAGTTTATAATCTATTACTATCTTATATAGAGTTTTCTAGCTATTTAATTTAATTAGTATAGTATTAAGAATTTAAATAGCTATAATAAATAGCTCTAAAGCTAGCTTTTTAGATAATCTAGCTATAATTCTTATTACTTAGCTTTTTATAATTATTACGTCTTTAGCTTTCTTTATATAACTATTCTACTTAGGTATCTTAGATAAGCTAGACTTATATTTAATACCTAATTTAATATAGATCTTAGTAAGCTTATTACTAAAACTCTTCTTATTATTAGTTCTAAGTATAATAACTAAGTACTTAAATTAATACTATAGTTTAGTAATTATTCTACGTATAGTAGATATTAATACTACTCTACTTTTTATAAGTAACGTATATTCTTTATACTAGCCTAAGAATTTATTAATTATATAGAGTTTCTACTTATTCTTATTAAAATAGATTTCTTCTATTAGTAGTAGTTAAACTAAATCTATCTTTATTTAGTAGAAGAGACTCTTTATAGATATTAACCTAGATTTCTAGAAAACTTAATAATTTATTTTTAACTATATATAGATATTATAGTTCTTCTAGTTAACTAGAAGTATATTCTTCTTAAGCTTAAAGCTAGTAATAGCCTCTTCTAGATATATAATAGCTTTCTTATTAGAGTATATCTATAGTTAATAGATTTTAGCTCTAGTAGTAATTATTACTAGTTATAAATTCTTTAATAGTTAATATACTATTATAAATATAGTAAATATTTTCTATAAATTAGAATAGCTATTTTTATCTATATTAAGTAGCTAGTACCTTTATTTATACTCTAAGTTATAGACTATATTACTAGGCTTATTTTTATATAAAACGTCTCTACTAGAGTTAAAGTAGATTCTAACGTCTTAAAAGTACGTAAGCTCTATAATATTTATAAAGAAGCTCTCTACTAACGCTATATAGATAAGGTGTATTAGAGTTAGTTCTAATAGAGTATTAGTCTAGAGAATTATCTCTTTCTAAGCCTTAACTCTTATAGCTTACTCTCTAGCGTATATAATAACATTTAAGTTAGCTTCTACTATCTTTTTCTAGCTCTAATTCTCTAAGTTATAGACGTAAATATTAGAGCTAGAGTTATAGATCTACCTATTAATAAGGTATAGAGCTATTAGAACTATCTTCTAAGTTTCTAAAATCTTAGCTATTATACTAAAGAAGTAGAATATAAGATTAGTAGAAGAAATACTACTTATTAGCTTATTATTATTAAAGCTTAGTAGAGTAGTACTTACTTTTAGCGTAGATTTATTTTACTATTTAGAGAACTAATTAGTAGCTTATTTAAGCTTCTTAGTCTACTTTTTTTTCTTTTTTTTCTTATTAAACTTAGCCTAAATTTCTGCGTTAGAGTTCTAGTCTACTAGGCGAATCTTTAGGTTAACGTAAGAATACTTACTAAACTAGTAGTAATGCCTATAGAAGTACTCTAGTATTTCTTCTTAAAACTTACTATATTTCTAGCTCTAGTTCTATTATTATAATACTATACCTAGTATTATATACGTCTCTAGGCTAGCTATAATAAGTTTAGTAGCTCTCTATAGCTATCTATATTCTATAATAAGGTCTATATAAATAGTTACGTAAGCCTAAGTGTTAAGTACGCTTTATTAAGTAGTTAGAGAGCTTTAAGTAGCTTTCTCTAGGCTTATATACCTTATACGTCTAGTATCTTAAGCTTAGCTATATAGTTAGTAATCTAGATCTATTTATTAAGCTAGTTATCTAGTTTATTACCTCTCTAGATCTTCTAGACTTTCTAGTATTATTCTAGTAGTACGTCTTATTATAACGCGTTAGTTATTATAACCTATTTCTTTAAGCTTACTAACCTCTTATAGACTATATTCTTATCTATAATATATAGTATAAAATAGGTAACGTACTTTATAAGCGAACCGACCACACAAGCGAGCCGACTACCTTTTTCTTAGCAAGAAAATCAACGAAAATTAACCTGTTTTTCTTAAATAACTAAGCGAAACCTTAATATTTTTCTATAAAAATTTTAATATATATTCTTTATAGTATATTACACCTTATACTAAAGTTGCACTAAGATATATTACGTAATTAAAAAGCTATACGTATTAAACTAACTTTTAAGAAAAAATCTAGTTTTCTTCTAGTAAGTACTATTATATCTTTATAATAATATATAAAACTTATAGTATATAATAT